TGCCTCAAAGTTCCCGTATAATAAGATTCGACCTCCAAAAATTTGTAAACGGCTCTTGGATTTCTCCCAGCCGTTGGAACTAACATGCATTGATCAAAAATTCGAAATCAATACTTTTTGCGGCTTTAAAATACTATTTTCGACCCTTCTGTACAGTGACATCCCTGTAATGTTTTTGATATAAAATGTACTAAAGTATTGAAGATGAAAATTGAACCATTCTGTATATAAATTATTTGGAAAAAGTATAATTTGTTAAAAAATATATACAAGTCATAAATAACCAACCATAAATGACCATTTTTACATCAATTCCTGAAATGTAAAATGTTAATTCGCATTTTCAATTTGTTAATTTGATTAAAAACAAGCCGCACAAATTCGAGCAGTGCCTCATTATAAACGAAACAACACCCCGTTTATATCAATGTCATTAGAAAATAATACGAAAGAAAAATATCCATAATAAAGCACTAAACTAAGTGTAAAATTTTCTTTTTTCTGGTTCGTCGTAAATTAGATTACCTGGCAGATGCCTTTTATTTTTATTCTGCACCCTTGAAAGAATAAGAATGGAAGTTTAGAAATTCTTTTGAAATTATTTAATAAGTTTCAGCCGCGTGGACGGGTAAAAGTTGTTCGTGTTTAATTAGGTGTAATAATTCCAACAGTACAACTGAGCAATGGGAAACGATGCAAAATTGTAGAACATTATTTCCCGTTCTTTTTTTCTTCGTATTTATGTTGGCAATTTAATTTCACAAACGGAAATATATCAGCTTTTTATTAATTGTTATTATATTGGCTTCTAGTCTGTCAATTAAATTGTAATTTTATTGAATCGGTACGGGACTTACGGGTACATCCCCGTAAACCCCCCTCTCTTACATTAAAAATTCATGAAAATACTGTGTTTTTTTCAGTTGAGTTCTTATTTTACTTGTAAACATTCAGCATCACAAATTTTCTACTATCAGAAATATTTAAATTTAAGTTGTTTTATTGTAGCAGTGTGTGATGGAGTTTTCGAAGATTTGAGTGAATTCAATTATCATGTAGAGTTTGTGAAATAAACTATAAATTTGCCGAACAAATTGATGCACTTAGCTATTTAGCCCCAGCAAAACTTTTACCTGATCCAGCGCAAAATTCATATTTATTAAAGTCCTGAAGGAGCAGTTTCAGGAACATAAAGCTAATAAATAAAGTTTTATGGGTAATTTGCCGCAATTTATTGAAAATAATCTGGAAAACACGATGTTTTATTATGTTAATCAATTATTTCGGTTTTAATACTTGCCATAAAGAAAAATTATTAATTGCTCTTTATGTCCGAAGTAAGTGCCTAGATTTACGATCGAATAAAATGGATTGAAAGTTTATACAGATTGCGTATTGTAGTAGATATAGTAGTAAAATCTAGCTTCCAATAAACAACAACAGGCGAAAGTTTACTAAAGGATGATTCAAGGGGAAAGGCAAATATTTTAAAAGGATTCGACTCACATGTTCAAGCTAAAATTATTAAAAAACCAATCAACCATCAAGAAAGTTAATCAGGTTTACTTAGACTACCTCCAAGAAGGTTTCTTCATAATACACTCAGTATAATTGTGGGAGGTGAAGTTTTCAAAAATTAGTTATAAATTAATCCTATTTCTGCACTTTATTTTATTTATTGGTTTACTTTGAAATTACAGTTAATTAAAGTAGCTGTGAAAAAAATCGGGCATAACTAATGATCTTATTTTGCTTAATCTTCCTCTATTGCCATTTGTTCTGGCTGTTTTTTAGTTTAAAGCGGCGATCAGTGAAAATTAATTGGGAAGCGATTTCAGCTTACGCGTTAAGTAAGAATACTCTCCTCGCTTTGTCTAAAAAAATTGTTCTTTATCAATAACCGAATTCTAGGTAATTATTATTTTGCGTAAGTCGGTCCTACATACACATTATTGTTGAAAACTATTTAATAATAGAAATTCTCCTTAATGTTTTGTTTGGTATTTGCTTGAAACGTATATGATTGCCACTTGCACTATTTCTGGGCGATACTGAAACCACCAGGTTCTTACTGCATTTTAGCTGAACGAAGCCAACATTTCTTGTCGAGAAACAGAATTACTTTGTCACCGGAAAATTGAAGCGTATACACTTTAACTTCATCGCTCATTAGGATGAGTATTCTCTGTAAAGCTCCTTGCCACTTTTCCATGCTTTTTCCAGATAAATTTATGGTAGAGTTGGCAATGACCTTTTAAGGTTTTAACTCTCAGCCTTGGAAGCTAATTGCAGATTCCTTGATTTTTTTAAATGGTATGCAAATTTTTGACTAATGTCTTGTATCATGTATATTCAGTTTTCGGCAAATTTATGCTGCGGAACCACAGTGAATAGTAAAAACAATCATCATAAATAACTGTTGAACATATTTCAAAAAAATGGTGCTGGAATCGGAAGCAATTTGGTCCTAAATGAGCTTCTGTTTATATACGGGAAGTAAATTCAGCTGAAAGTTGACTATGATGCGAAATGATTCGCTCTAAAATAACCTTAATGGGACGCCCTAGTTAGAATTTATTATATTAATTTTGCGCTTCGCTTAGTGCCATATTTTGTCGGCATTTCAAAAGAGCGATAAGCCGGCATGGATTTTCTAATAAGAGTATCTCTCGCCGTTGCGAAAATCTGCTGCACAATTATGACGTCCGAGTGCTGTCTCTCTATATTTTACTTTTATAATTCTTTTCCGCCCTTCTTCGCTAAATATTTTCTTTGTCATGGGGATGCTGACGGATGAAACGATCTCTAAGCGAAAGTTCTGCAACAACTACCAAAACTTGCGTCGTGTTAGAAATATTAACTAATGAAATTATAAAACTTTTCGGAATGGAAAAACTTTCAATTGTGTTAAACTAGGATTAGACGTTTTTCATAATTTTTACAGCTTAACTCAATAATAAGGCGGCATGTGCACAAGAACGTCTGTTTGCCAATTACGAAAGTTGTAATTAGCAGGTTTATAACTGCAGTGAGACATTCATATCTGTGATTACTCTGCATTTGCAAATGGAGCCAACAACCGGCAATATAAACACTTAAAAGGAGTTTGTTGAAACTAAAAGATGTTCCGAATTACACAGCCATTAAAAGATGAGTCGTGTAAGGGATCTTTAGAGATTTAAAGAATTAACAAGACAAAAAAAGATAATATAACTCTGTTTAATGTTGTGATTCTATCGAGAAATTTAAAAGTCGTACTTTCAACTAAACAGACGGCTAAGGGTGTGACTGGCTTCGTAAATTTAATAAATATATATATATTTAGACGACTAAACTGTTACAATTATACCAAGAAAAGAACCCAGGAACACCGTTCATAAATTTAAAAACAGAAGAATAAAAGTAAGGGATGTTAACAAAATACGGTCAGATTCATATACATACGTCTATTCAATTAGATGCAAGGCGAAAAGTGATACAATTAAATGCAAAAGATAGAAACGAAATACATATCTGAAAAACATAGGATAATTTCAGAAGAAAATGTGAAAAAATGGAAAACCATAGACTTGTTTGATCAGCCCATGACTCATAAGAAGATCAGAAAGTTTACCATTACAAGAAACCAACGTCATTAAGTCAATTGCACTTTGAAGCAAAAGCGCGGATAACTAATAATGACAATAAAAATAAAAGAAACCACAAATAATATTGTACTCACAGAAAGTGCTTACAAGTCATCGTTTAGATGAGCCGTTAAAAAGTTTGAATAAAGATGTGGCTTGAAGAAAAAGAACAACAGGAAAAAATTTGGATAACTTTAACAATACGCTTCGGAACTTCTAAAATAGGCCCCAAAAGTCTAGTAAAGCAGACGAATGAAGCTTAACGCGATCCAATTTATTTATGTTTCCGGAGCTTGCTAAATACTTGAGGTTAAATGGCAAAGTGACCAGTTAAAAACCGAGCTTTTTCAGATTAGTCCATCTATAAAAGTTCTTACTGCTTTTTAAAAATAGCAAAGGTATTAAATTTCAAAGCGTCTTAAATAAATTAATAAAAATCAGAAATTTTTGTTAAACCAAAATTGCGATAATAGTTATGTTGACAAAATAATATTTATCAATATGGAAACATATGCACTCTCCATCATCCGATTTATTTATTTGTTTTAATATCGGATTATCCTGATAAATTTAGAAGCCGAAGCGAATATTTCCAATTCCTATGAGTAACATTGGAAGCAGATATAAAATTGGGGTTTTGTTTACCAGATGAATAATTCATCAAATTCGGCAGTTTTCCGAATTTGTTTTAAGAGCTAACGAAACAGAACAATTCTTTTTCTCTGAAAATTTCTGCTCAATCAATTCCATGTAAACCGAATAAAATTCCATTAATTAACATTGTGTAAGTAACTGATTGTGAAATTAGTTGCAACATTTCCTATGCCTTCTATTATTTCAGTATTAATATTGTAGCAATTGAATACCCATAGTTTTACGGCAAAATTCAAATATAAATGTTGATGGGTGAATTTAAAAAAACCTGCAGTTAGAAAAGTTGATCCAATTTGAAAACTGGACCTCAAGTGCTAAAATGACTCTTTTTACTCGAAAATCTACATAGAGCTCAGCAGAAAAATAAACCTCGAAATCCAACATCAAATTGTAAAATGAGCATTCCTGAAACTAGCATTGGAGTTCATATAAATGCAAATTTAACTGTGCGGATACTTTTGATCTTTTTTTTAAATTAAATGTTTAGTAAATTTCATACAATTTGATTTTAGTTAGGGTAATGGAGTTTGTACCAATTACAAGAATTGGAATTGCTACTAGTATTAACCCATTATTAAATACATCGGACTTTCGGAGCTTTTTGCACTAATTTGCTGGGTAGGGTATTTTTTTATATATAATCGGGGACACGGAACTTTGGGAACAATTCAATTCCCTGGAAACATTAATTTAAAATTCATAAATTTTTGTGTTTCTCACCGTTCGATTTCCCAGATTTTTAACTCTGCAATGTAAATCTACAGTGCTCTCCACGAGCCCTGTAACATTCGATTCGATCAGTGTATCGAAATATGGTGCTGTTCCTGGTGTTGGCGAATTATCTCGAAGAAAGTCCCGGAACCTTTTTCCGCTCAAAGTTTCTGCTGCATCTGCAAAAATTAAGTCTATTAAGCGTGGCGATTAATTAGCAATGGGTACTTCATGATTTAATTAAACTAATTAACTCGGTTATTGTGTAATGTAAATTCGGCAGATGACACCGATTTCATCAAAATCTACTCCCCGTTCATTTCCATTTAGCACTAATAATATTTCACAGCAGCTTTGTATATATATTCCAGCTAAGCTTCGTGAATCGTAAACCACGCTGAAGATTAAACTGAACTGATATGAAACTTAACGCAGGTCTACCATACGTATCTAGGAGATTTATAAGTTTGCTGAACAAATATCGCTCAACTAAATCCGCTCCCAGAAGCAGAAAATCCACTTTTGCAATAAGTAATTTTGCTTATTTTGCACTAGTTCGGTATCCATCAAATTATTAGTATGAAATAGTTTATGAATGACTATATTTCATCAGTCGACATTGTAAACTGTTTTTCTAATAACTGAGAAAATGGTCAGAATGGAAAATGAAAAGACGAAGTTTAATCCCTTCGTTGGTACACCTCCAGACGGGTTAATGAAATCTGTCTGCTTTTCTCTAAGTCTTTCCGCAACTAATACGTTACTGTTTCAAGTACATTGGTTTCTGGTAACGTTTCCGAATGGCTTTTGCTCGTTTTTAATGTCGTTTACGACGAATCTCAATTCATTCTATCGTTGGGGCGTAAATGTAACGAGGTGAGCTTTGACTTCATTTAATTTTCTTCACGAAACGTTCCAAGTATAGTTCTGCGATTCTCGTTCTGTGAATTTGACAAGAAGGAAATTTGAAATTAGTGCAAAATGTCGAGCGATTTAAGCGAAAGAGCCCGCCAAGATGCGGAAGGAAGTTTTCAGTTTTATTAAATAGTCTCCCCAAAGTTTCCGCACACATTGTTTGGATTCTCAAAACTAGGTAGCGTGGAGAAGCCAAACTATTCAGAACTGAAGTAACGAGATTGTAATTTTCAATGTTTTCATACCACCATCTTTCACGCTATTAGAGCACGGATAGAATATTAAAGTAAATTTTCACACCTTAGTATGGTGATACTACTGTTTAAGAACATTTAGGAAAATGGCAAGCATTGAAATTAACAAAAAAAACTTTATTATTATCAAATATGGACGAAACCAATGAAATATCGCCGACGCTTCCAACTAGCCCATAAGTAGATTTATATAATATGATATAACATAACGTAAGCACGCAAAACTATCAGAACATATTATTTCGTCTCTGAAATCAATTTCCTTGTTTGATTCACTAGTCCTTTTTTGTAAGTTTTGTGCTTTTGGTGAAATGTTGTAGAATTTATACGTTTTACGCAAAAAAAATATTTTTTCTTATCTATCGAGAATTTTAGACAATCATAATTTTTTTTGCATTGATCAAACTTAAGTAATTTTTTTTGTAATTTACGGAGAATGCTCAGATATATTTTAGTGTAACTTGCTGTGCATTTGCTTCTACGTGAAGGCCATATTTTGATAAAACTACCGCGCTCAGCTGAACTTTTGACAAAAACGATTCCTAGGAACGACCGGACTAAAACTTTAACCATGTTGGTTAGTTAATTATTATAAACTGGTTGGCAATTATTTTATTATAAAAGCGCTTACGATGGCTTTAGCAGTTAATATTTAAAATTGCCAGGAGGCAAGAAAACAGAAATAATTTTTTGGTGCGAAAAATATGAATGATTCGAGATTTAAAAAAGTCCAAAACCATCGACAAATTATACGTATAAAAATCAGTTGATGCCAGCCAAAAAATTAAAAGTTCTGGCAGTTTGTGTACAACACACGCAGTCACACAAACTTCACAAGTTTTCCCAAGGGGATGAATTCGGTTGCTTCATCAAATAACGAGCCCAATAAAAGTACAAATTCACAGTGCGTTAAGTTAAAATTTACTGCATCATTCTCTTGATATTTCAAAAAACATATTTTTTTGGAAGAACTGATCATCCATAACAACATGCATGCACTTTATTTTAAAAGTTTATTTAACCATGCGTGCACTTTACTTTAAAAGGTTATTCTTAAACGGTAGTCTATTTCATCTTTTTGGCAAATATTCAATGTGTTCTAATTTTGATATTAATTATCATACATATTTTAATATATTTTTCAATTTGTAGCTTGATGTTGTGGCTACTTTTTTAGGGATGGGGCAAGAAAAGTAGACTTCATTCTATGATATAATGGAGAAAACATTAAGGCACGTTTTTATCGTTATTTACGTAAAACACCCTGTGCGCTACTCTTTGCTTTGAAACTAAAATGCATTTTTGCCTTTTGAAATTTTCTACTCTGCTCATGTATGCCTCGAAAAAAAACAATCCCTTAGACAAATTCAGGTTTAGACTGGTAACGCCCAAATAATGGAATTGATAGAAAAATGGTAATATATTGTATATATAATATAATCGCAAAATATTTGCAATCAACCAACCAATCAATCAACCAAACTTAATAAAAGTCAAAATTTTAAATGTTCTATTTTTTAAAGAAAAGCATGAATTAAACAAGTGATCAATACCAACAATTGGTATTTTATTTCCTTTAATTTTTGTAAACACTATTTGAATGAACCGAGTATCTTTAAATTACATTACGGATGGCTCGGAAAAAAATGACCAAATACCGAAAATTTCATCGCGTCAAGTGAGTCTAAACATTTAATTTTTCTGCTAAATATAGTAAGCCAAATATTCCGCTATCAACCTTGGCATAAAACTGCATGTCATAAAAGCGCAAAACAACAACCGACATTTGCATGTTTAAAAAGGCAGAATTTGTTTATCCAGCAATAAGTCAACATTCATGTACATGTATATGCATCGCTAAAGTGCGCTTCGATTGTTTGTATCAAAAGAAGCAATTTCCTGAAAAATATTTGCTGATTTACTTTGAAGTTGCTCGAGCAACTGCACTGCCTGTGCAATGTGCAACTCCGGAAATGAAATTTCTGCAGAGGCTAATGCAATATTCTTAAACCCTATGGCGTATAGTTTTCAATATTCTCCTCGAGTGCCGTACGAGTAATTTCAACGTCAGAAATACAACCGATAATTTCAAATGAAATTGTCAGGCTTGTTAGCTTTTATTTTCATTGAGTTGGATATTTAACTATTGACCAGTTACATTTGCTACTTGAGCTGCTAAACTGCAATTTAAAAAATGAATAGGCAATGGGAACTAACAGTTTTCGGGTTATTTGGGAGAAATTGACGAATTTGCAGCAACGGCTTTAGTGTGGATTTGCGGATGAAATAAACTAATAAAACACATTAACTCCATATAAAACCCTTTAGTGTTAAATTGAGGTGGAACACCCGCATATTTAGTCATTAACAAAGGAAATAGTAAAAGTGTCATTCGTGGCGTCTAAATAAAGATAAATGTATTCTCACAAAAAGCCTGCAATTAAGGTAAATGGTCGCCATGAATTACATTAAATCATATTTCCTGGAGGCCTAATTCGCCAAAATGTTATTAACTTTCGTTTTGCGGTTCTTTTGGGTAATACCATTTGCTTAAAGTGCTCTCTTTTATTTGCGAAATTTTAATTAAACATTAAAAAAATGAATGAACAGTCATTTCTTTATATAAAGGACATAATATTTTGAAACATTAGAGACCTTGGTCGCTAATTATGCAGCGTTTTCAGTTTTAAAATCGTTAATGTGAAAATGTGTAGTTTGTGTCCTAACAAGCATCTGCATATGCACTTACAGCGTGGTCTTTAATAGGATACATTTTACCGTCTAAAGGTCTCGATCCGTCAAAAAATGCTTATAATTCACAAACAGTGTCAATTATTTCAGATCTAGAGGGTCTAATGTGTGTTTCAATAAATTGGTTCCTTGCTATGAAAATTATATAGAATTTGAGGCATATGAGAGATTTAAGTTTTGTGATGTTTCAATCGTCAGTAGCGTTGCGTTTGATAGAAACAAGTTTGAGACCAGAAAAACTTTAAAAGGTTTTGTACAGATTTTTCTGTTAACTTTTCTCGAACTTTTAAATGAATTGAAATTGCGTTCAAACCAAGATATCATTACAAGAAAGACGAGTCCTCCCAGTTAACATCAAGGTGTGAAAGTAGATCTAAATATCCTCGTAAACAACAAAAAATGATGTTGTGAAATGATGTTATAATAGACTCATGATTAGTTTGGACACTTCGGTGATAAATTCTGCAGTTTTGTGATGAAATTCATGTAATAATAAAACGTATTGATAGGTATTTCTAAAACAGATTTAGGCCTTAAATGAGAAACTTTAAAAACTCTAAATTCTTCTCTGCTGAAATTTCTAGTTCTGTTATTTACATAATGTTAACAAGAAAATTATTACTTGCCGGTGCGATCAAATGCCTAAATTAAAAATTTTCCGATAAGAATAAGTTTTTGAAATTCTTCTTTACTCTGTACATATCTACAAATAACACTTTTCGCGGGACATCCGCTATTTTGAATAACCCTGTAGATTAATTTTGTATGTTCAGCCGTGTTCGAACACATATCAAAGCAAAACACGCGACGGTGTACAATTTACATTTTCACGGTTCCAAAGCAAAATTCAAATTAAAATTTAAATACGATTTATTCCAGAAACTAAAGCCCACTTTAATATATGGCGAAACGGGAATTACGGTTATGTTAGGCTAAGAGATCCATTAATTTTCCCACCGGTTCTAATATTAGCAATGAAAATTACGTACAAGGTGAAAAAGAAAAGCGCTACGCTAAGCAAAACACTACCGAAATGAATTAAAATGAAAATTTTAATGTCTCAAGCGATAGATGGTTCACAGTATACATGTTAAATAGATCGCGTGCTCCAAAGTGGCGACATGCAATGGACTCAGCTTTCTTCAGTGCTGGACGTTAAATGGATATTTAAAACTTCGACAGAACATGTTTTAGCTTCGAATTGAATTGTTTTTGTCCATTAGATGAAATTAAATTCGCTTAAGAAATTGGTAATAAAC